AAAAATTGAATCCCACCACTGGATGAGAAGATACTGCTTGGCTGGGTAGGGTGGCAGAAGGAAAGGAGGAAGGAAAGAAGGAAGGAAGGAAAGAAGGAGGAAGGAAGTTGACTCTCCCTATTCAAGAAATTGATTTGCTCAGGTGACTTGGAGTCTTGTTACTGCAGAGAGACTGAAAACTGGTTCAGGCACTTGTATCTACTAGTGACCTGTGCATCAGAGAACACTGATGCACTTTTAACACACCAGATGGACCATCCACAAACAGAGTTCATCAGTATACTCAGATCACACTGCCCAGTGCCAGTCATCCAGAGTGGGCAGCGAGGCTACCAAAGAAGCCTTGTACCTCCGTAATTATTCTGGGTGGCTTCCTGCCCAACTTGTTTTCTAAAGATTGTTTTGCACTGTCTCCTACACATAAGCACTCATTAGACACACCCTCACTTTAGGAAAGCATTGCATAATGTGATCACACACACACACTGTGGCCCTTGACAACCGCAGCAAATATGTACATGAAAAAGTCAATAAACCAAAACAGAGAGCAGAAAAATGTAATTTGGATAGCAAAGATGGAACTGACAGACCAGGAGGCAGAAACTGGCTGAAGGCATGCTGGAGCAGAAAAGCTTTCAAGCTTGATCAGGGAGATTGTCATCAGAGAGAAGCCAAAGGATTTCCTGAGGCAGGGCCTGCCAAAGTCGAGCCACAGAAAGACCCTCTCGCATACCAGCACTAGTCAAGCCTCAGGTGTCAGCGATGGGGATAAAAAACAGGTGGCTGCTTCAGATAATCCCCCTTCAGGCAGCTTTATCTAATATTTAGATACCAGAGAGCGTGAATAGGCTGAGTTGAAAGGAGGTGATTCTGCAGACACATTTAAGCCATTTCGATTTGCAAAATGAATGACCAAGTACATTGAGTTGAGATTAGAAATGACCTGGAAGCCAGGGGTCATAGATATAAGAATGAAGTCAGCTTTGGACTGGCTAATGGGAATTCCTAAGCACAGCTGGTCCTCCTATATTTGGTCTTCTTAAGAAGTGATGTTTTGGGTGCTCCAACACTGGAGATTTTAAAGAAGAGATTGGACAACCTTTCATCTGAAATGGTACAGGGTCTCCTGCTTTAGCTGGGGGTCAGATTAAAAGACCTTCGAGGTGTTTTCCGTTAGTATGTTTTGTGTAAGAAACACAACTTTTATATTTAGGAAAAAGCAATGGGGTTGTTGCCAATAAAATTACTGTAACAAAATGTGGAGCCATTCTCCATGGCTATGCAGGCGGGCAGGGTTTAACACCTAAATGTCCAAAAGGTGCTTTTTTCAAGAGGCAACTGGACTTACTTGTTTTTTCTTTTGAAGATGTTTTGCTTCTCATCCAAGAAGCTTCTTCAGCTCTAACAGGATAGTGGGGAATGGAAGGATTTATATTCCTTGCAGACAGTTGATAATTTGCATCCTTTTAGAGCAGGGGGTGTCAAACTTCCAGCCCACAGGCCGGATAGGTCACGTCCTGGCCACACTCATGTCCAGTTTAGCAAAGGGGAAAAAAAGTCATGATACGTCAGATGATGCCGCCATGACATGCAAGTTTGACACCCCTGTTTTAGAGGGTAGTTAAAGCACTTGAGGATTTATATGTGTCCTCAGGATCACCTGAGTAGTGCTCCTGGTTCCTGCAATTTTTTTTCCCTTTGGAAATCCATTCCTACTCCCACACCATTCAAAGAGTGTTCATCCCAAATTGTATAGCTAAAAGTCCCTCTAAAATGATGCAAATGACCAGCTGTCTGCAAGGAATATAATTCCTTCCATTCCCATCCTTCTGTCAGAGCTGAAGAAGCTTCTTGGATGAGAAGCGAAACGTCTTCAAAAAAAGAAAACAAGAAAGTCCAGTTGCCTCCTGAAAAAACACCTTTGGGACAACCATGATCTGGATGATTGAGAATCTCTACAGTCTCTTAATTGTCTCCCCTTTGATTGACAAACAAGGCTTTTGGCATGATCCGGACACCCCATTCTTATGATGGTACTTTAAGAAGCGTCTGTTTGTTTGTTTTTAAGAGAAAGGTGCCTATTTGAAGAGATGAAAGGACTGACTTTTCTATCTCTGCATGTACTTTCCCCTCTGTAGTGTGTGGCTGTGACCTAGCTCAGTCTGGCTTCTTCTTTAAAAATGGGGAATACATCTGCACTCACGACTACCAGCAGCTCTATGGCACCCGCTGTGACAGCTGCCAAGACTTCATCACTGGAGAGGTTATCTCAGCCTTGGGCCGGACGTACCATCCCAAGTGCTTTGTGTGCAGCATGTGCAGGTGAGTCTACTATATCTAAAAGCAATGTGTCAACCTCTCAGGAGTGACAATGGTGAGCAGAATCCCCCTTAGGGAAAGTTGCAGCGCTCGTGCAAAACCATAGATTGCATTATAGCTTGGTTGCAATCAGTAGGGAGGTAATCCTAGCTTCCCCCGTTGACTTTGCTGGTCGGAAAGTCGCAAAAGATGACCACGTGACCCTGGGACACAGCAACGGTCATAACTATGAAACAGTTGCCAAGCATCCGAATTTTGATGACTTGATCTTGGGGATGCCGCAAAAGTTGTGAAAAACAGTTGTAATTCATATTTTTCAGTGCCATTGTAACTCTGAACCATCACTGTTGTAAGTCAAGGACTACTTGTACATTTTATCAGACGGGGGAGGGAGTGGAATTGTCAAAACTGAGTTTTGTAGTTTGGGAAAAGCAGAATCTAGATTGGAATATCCTATCAACTGATGCCAAGGTTTGACCTCAATCCAGCAGTTGCAGAAGAAGCTTGGCCTTAACCCTTAGAATTTGCTCCTTAGTTGGCAGATCTTCTCCTGAAATTAGGTGGCTGACTAAATGCATATCTTTCTAGCCTTATGTGCTCCTCAACATCAACAGGTTTTTTGTTTCCTTTTCTTCTGCCTTCTTTCTCCAAATAATTTATCCCGCAATAAAAATCTTGCCTTTTCATCAACTGGTCAAATAACTGGTGTTACCAGCATGGCCATGAAGGATCTCAAAGAAGAAGAAAAACAAGTGCAAAAATTCAATCCTGAGCTATATGTATTCTCAGTTACTGCAAGAATTACAGGTAGTCCTCAACAGAGAACCCTTCGGGTAGTGACAGCTTGAAGTTACAGCGGCACTGAAAAATGGGATTTATGACCGTTTTTCACACTTATGACCATTGCAGCACCCCCATGGCCATGTGATCAACATTCGGACACTTGGCAAATGGCATATATTTATGACAATTGCCATGTCCTGGGGTGTGATCAGCTTTTTTTGACCTAAGTCCATGGGGAAACCAGATTCACTTAACAATTGCAGTAATTAACAACTTAACAACTGTGGCAAAAAGAGAGTTGCAAATTGGTGCAAAGTTCACCGAACTGTCTCGCTTAGCAACATACATTTTGGGTTCCATTTGTGGTCGTAAGTCAAGGACTATCTTTACTTGCTTCTGGCCACCTGTATTTTCTGAAACTTGATCTCAGCAGCTTCTGCTTATTTTGAGTGAAAGAGAGAGGGGTCCTGGGCGTTATCTCAAAAAATGCTTTCTAAAATATGTGATGCTGTCCTAGGCACCTCGGTAAGAGCCATGGTGGTGCAGTGGTTGGAATGTAGTATTGCACGGTAATTCTGCCCACTGCCAAAAGTTCAATCCTGACCAGCATGAGGTTGACTCAGCCTTCCATCCTTTCTATGGTCAGTAAAATGAGGAGGACCCAGATTGTTGGGGGCAATGTGCTGACTTTGTAAATCGCTTAGAGAGGACTGTAAAGCATTATGGAGCGGTATATAAGTCTAAGTGCTATTGCTATTCTTTGTATGATATCTTTCCATGTGTTAGGTTTGAACTGCCATGTTTCTTCACCAACAATGATACTGGAGAAGACACCACTGAAAGATGAAGCAGCAGCTATACATGAAAGAAATTCTGGGCAGAGGCCTCTATAGAATGCATAGATTGTTCAGAAGGGAAACTAATGGCAGGGAAATTCCATTTAGCCTTATTTTTTTCCCAAATTTGATCCAGGGTCAGCAACAAAGACTCAAAGACGGTGTTTGAATATTGTTTTTAACTGGTTTGATACTTAAATATTGAACTAGAAATGCAACTAATAATTAAAAAGCAAAACAAAATAAATAATGATGGCAAAAGTGAGGGAATATGATGAAAAGCTTCCACCATCCTGTTTTTCTCTCCTAGTCTAATTAAATTGCCTCCCTGGGAAAAAAAAATGTTGCTTTGCTTTTTTCAATCCCCATTGCAAGTTAAATCTTCAGTGTAACAAAGGTTTTAGAAAGCATAAAGACATGAAAAACTTATAATGGCCCTTATCATCAATGGTATCACCGATACAGTTCCATAGGTTCTTATAGCAGTTGCCTGATTGCAGCTGTCTTTACTGGCAGTGGGGGGAAGTTGCTAGGGAAGGGAGCACCAAATTGCAAACTGAGTGCTGGGGGTGGGGGGGGAAGACAGATTTTTACACAGGCTGCTGGGAAGAAGTCTGCACCTTCCCAACAAAAGCCGTGGTGTAGATTTGTCATTTCTCTAAAGGAAGAGAATCACCAATAAAATGCATGTTCACAATCTGTAGACAATAACTTCACACAGAGAGAACAAGACAGATATAACTGGGCGGGAACTGGTTCCATAAGTTATGATTAGGGGGGCATTAATGAGATGAAGAAAGTGTGAAGCAAACGTAGGGCTAATTCTGATTGCAGTGGCGATCTAATGATTAATTGGAGTTTCAATTGGATGTCCCTGCAAGAGGAAGAGTGATTAGCCCTCTCCCGAGGGAGTGGTGAAAATGTTGTGACCTATGAATGATTCTAGGTCTCAGAAATCCTCTGGTAAGACAGGTCTATTACTGTGTCTTTTTTAATGTTTGGCTTGCATTAGAGAAACATTAGAATTAAGAAAGAGTGTCAGTGAATGACAGGAAAAGGTAGCCTTAAATTAACCCCAGAAGCTTTACGTGTCTACACCTACAAACTGCTGCCATTACCCGTGTCGTATTTTGTCAGAAACACTAAGCTGAAGTTTCTTTGTTGTGGAATCTGTACCACCCTTTCTGTAGCAACCAAGGCTGTTTTCCACTTAGCCTAAATGGCATTATGAGTCCAGCATCAATCACTAACCTTCAAGGTAGGGTGATACCAGCGTGGGAAGTAAGCAAGTTATTATTGATGCTATCCATACCATTTGTTTCTTTCAAGCATTACCGGGAAATAGATGGTAAACTAATCCCCTAAACTAATAGCAACAAACTGCAATAGAATGTAAGTACAGGCTAAGAGGAATGCTGAGCAAGGTAGAGGTACATTTACAAGTTGAGTAAGGTGGATATGATGCTCAGATTAGATTTCCCAGAGGATTGAGCAGAGGTGAGCAGTTTGGCAAGTCTGATGTCGATCACTTATATACGTATATATCCATTGATCCATTGAGATATATACTCCACTGATCACCTGTTGCATTGGGTTAAAGGGCAAGAATTGGTACTTAATGCTCAGGTTGTAGTTTATCCCTTTCTATTCAAGTTCCTTTTTAAAAAAAAACTTTATGGAAGGGGGATTATTGTTTCCACCAGTAGAAACCGATCACCTATTTGATTCCCATGCTTTAAAACTAATAAAGTCTTAGCCTTGTTCTTTTGTAGGGGAAATTCATACATTGAAATAAATCCATTCTTCTCAGCTTTGGCGTTCAAGGTGTTTTATATACATCCTTACATCTGGTGTAGTGGGGTCCCCAATTGCTTCAGCTCATTGATCCCTTCATGAAATTTCAGATTGTCCATCATCTCCCAACCATTTATTATATAAAAATAAATAAATACTACTTTAACTAATACCGTGTTTCTCATATAATAAGGCCGGGTCTTTTTTTTTTTTTTAAGCCCCGAAAAAATGGCTAGGCCGTCTTTTCGGGGGTGACTTAATTCCCCCCCCCCCTTGCATCTTCGGGCGGGCGGCAACGGATTGGATGTTGACCTCGGCGTTGGTGGGGCACTTCGTATCGGGGTCAACACAGGCAGCACCATATCCGGGTGTGCAACAAAAGTACTTCCTAACGGCAAGCCCCCCCACCATTCCCCCCATTTCACATGTTTTAATATAGGCCTTAATTTGGGGGGGAGGGGCTTAATTTCATTTCATGCCTATAAAACATGCTGGGACTTCCTATTGGGGGAGGCCATATTGTTGGAGAAACAGGGTAGTAGCACAAATTGTAGCAGCAACTGTAACCACCCTTTAAAATTTAAAATTTAAATAGTCCCTTCAATCCCTGGGGAAACCCTGATCTAAAGGAAATATAAAACCCTTCTCTTCATTCTAATGAAATGTCCTTTGCAGCTAGCTACTGTATATACCCTCCATTCTGGGTTAATTTCTCTAATTATCCATCTCTAAGGAGGGGAGTAATTAGTGTGCATTTCTCAACTCAAACTTAAGTTCATCTTTTTCTGCCACTATAATGAAGTTACAGTAGTTGCTCTTCCTTCCTAGAGTAGATTTCAATATTAACTGCATTCATTTATGCTCATAAAGAAGATAGTTATCCTCTTACTAGTGTTTTAAAGTGAAGTATAGTTAAAGTATCCTAATCAGTATTAATTGTTCTGAGCCAATGTGTTTAAGAATAATCTTATATTCTAGGATTTCTCTTGCTTTTTCGTAGGGTTCACATAGATTTTGTAGTATTTTCCTTGTTTAATCATATGGAGGGAGACAGTAGAATACTATTGAAGTGGTATTTCTTAACTATAATAAGGCAAACTTCTGTATTTACATTCTGCAGGAAATAAGTTGATTGTTTAACCATGCACCTTTAATTCTCTGTTTCCTGGCAGATATGGACACCTGTGCCTATGTGCACATGTCTTATATTCCAGCCCATTTCATCTCATGTATCTCCTTTTGGTATACATGCACGACTGGAATGCATGTTGCTAGTTCTTGTAATATCTGTTTATCTGGGTGAAAAAGAAACTCTTTGTATTTTCAAGAATGCCACTGTCTGTGTCACATTCTTCAACTGTCCAGGAGAAATTTGCCAGTTCTTTGACTATGATATTTGAGGTCAGGAACAGTCAGTTCTGCAGGTTTCCCAACTATCATCATGTCTGCAATAAAGTCAGTCTTCTATCACAACTTCTTTTTTAAAGACAAGATAGGGATGTGAAGAAAGCACTGAAACCATCAAGGTGTTGAAGGAAAACACCTTGTTAAGAGCCACAGTGGCCCAGTGGTTAGAATGCAGTACTGCAGGCTACTTCTGCTGACTGCTGGCTGCCTGCAATTTGGCAGTTTAAACCCCACCAGGCTCCAGGTTGACTCAGCCTTCCATCCTTCCGAGGTGAGTAAAATGAGGACACAGATTGTTGGGGGCAATATGCTGTAAAACTGCTTAGAGAGGGCTGGAAAGCACTATAAAAAGGTATAAGTGCTATTGCTAAAACAGAGCAATCTCACAGCAAAATAAGAGGAAAGATGGAAAAGAGACCAGCAGGTACTGAAATTGCAGAACTGCCTGCTCTCAGGTATATCTGTCTGTCCTTATGTTAAACACTGTCATCTTATTGGGTTTATAAAGTATCCTTTTTCAGTGGCTGCTCCTATAGTCTGGAATGATCTCTGTCTGATAAGTATAAGTGGCTTGCTTTTAGAGAAGCAATGAAGTCCTGACTTGGAGTCCCCTTTTGTTTTGTTTTTAATTGTTTCATTTGGCTTGCTGTTTTATACACTAGTTTATTTATTTTTAACAATTTGGGATTGTTTTCTGCTAAAATTTTATTCCTGCTGTATATTTCTCAAAATCAAGTTGTTGAGTAATCTTACAAATATCTGAAACAATCAACCAAACAAATATTTGCATTGCATGAGATTTCAAATAAATTTCCCGGACATGAAGGAAACTGCAGTTTGGGCACACTCCATTAAAAAAACCGACAGTGCTTACAGAGGGTTTTTCCCCACTACTTGGTAGAATGAACGGGGAGGGGGGGGGAATCTACGTGACTATGAAATTTGCTACCTGTGATATGTAAAATTATACCTGTGATACATATCACACTACCCTTATCCTTGATGCTCATCCTTATCCTTGATGCTTTCTGTTCTATTTCTCTTCCCAGTACTTGCCTGTTGCTTGGTTTCCCTCCAAGTTAATGAGTGACAAAACCTAACAATTTACATTCCTTTGAAGCTGTTTTTGAACAGTGTCACAATAAGGGAAATAATACTGTACAGCTATGCGTGATTTTGGCCTGTCTTACTACAAGGACAAGATGAGGACACTGTCATAGGAGTAAGGCAAAAAATAAAAATAAAAATAAAAATAAACATAATGACAGGACATATTTGTACCTTAGCTAGCTATAAGTGAAAAAGCCCAAAACTACAGTGACTAGATGCCTTTGGATCAAGACCTTTATCAGGTTAAAAACATGAACATAAGCCTATTAATTGTAAGCACTGAGTTTCACTTAATTACACTCATCCACAGGATTTCATGCCAAGTCATTGTCTTCTAAAATCTACTAATCATTCTAGCCTAATAGGCTCACTTTTAATGGTCCAATATTCTCATATCCTTAATCGCCTAAGAAAATAGTGCAGCACCTCGTTTCTAAATAACGTCAAGTGAAAGGCAATTCAGGGAAGTTATCTTGGATGATAATTTTATACAAGAGGAAACCTTGGCTGAATTCATTCAGTTTAAACCAAGGAACAGACCTTCAGGGTTCATCTGACTCCCCAGACTTTTAGCAGCTTTTGTGACTATCTGTCACAGGTATCTTTCTGGTTCACACTTGTGTATGAGGCTTAAAAGGCCTGAGGGTCCAGGATGAGTAATCCCAAAAGGTGGTGTTGAAGGTCAGTTCAAGTAATACCTTTATTGCAGCCACCACCCTGGTTTAGTTTCCAAGTCTAATTGAAAGAGCTGGTTCTGATCCTTAAAAACCTCTGTGGCTTAAGTTTGGGTTAACTCAAGAAGTGGGACTAGTGCCATTGCTTTATGGTTGGTATTAGAGATGCTTCTGCTTAACTTACTATGGAGGACAATTAGACTAGTGACTAAAACAAAACAGGATTTCTTCCATAGTGTTCTTGTGCATCTGGAATCAGTTGTCACCTGACATTTATCACATAATTTAGCAGGATTTGCAAGAGTATTAAATGTGTACATAATTTTTCTTCTGAGTTGATTTTATCTTTCCTGACTTTTAGCTGAAGACATTTCATTCATTTGTTTCTTTGCTGTCAAGTACTATATCACTGTTTGTATTTTGCAGGCTGCAATATTTGTTCTGGTGCTTATTTTATTTTTGTTCTAATATTGTGTTGGATTTTTAAGTCCATGCTTGAGAGAGTGTCCACAAAGCAAGTGTAAGCAAGAAGGTTTTTCCCCCCAATAAATCCCAAAGCCCATGGAGCAATAAAGACAGATTAGCAATAATATTTTGAACTCAGCATATCAACCTTCTGCATGTGCACATTCAGATATACTCTGTGGCCTGCCACAAAACTCCTTCTTCCTTCCTCCTCTACATGCTGAGATCTTATAGGTCGATCCATCAGCTTAATTAGAAAAAGTTTGTATACAGGAAGCAGCATCTTCATGCTATGCCTACTCCATCTAAACTATCTCCTGGCTCTCCAGACAGGTAATTAGAAAATATATGTAGGTTAGACTTGGAAATCAAAAAGGCTATCTAGCAACAAGCAACAATTGTTTGACTAGCAGTGGAAAGATTATATGCCAAGAAGAGGCTGACAAGGTGAGATCTTCCCAAATATCCTTCATCCAGCAGCAAATTTGCAGAAACAATGGGAATATGGGGGGGGAACAGTGGGAATGCTGCAGGCCTCCATTAGAACTTACACAAGGGGTTGCTAGTGGTGCACAGGTGGCTTATAATGATTTAAGGATAATTTAAACTAAATGGTGACAACCAAATGAACCATGGCTGGCTTTGAAAAACTATGCAGTGTTAAACGCAATTAGTGTTAGGGTGACAGATACTTAGGAAATATCTGTAGGTTAGACTTGGAAATCAAAAGGCTATCTAGCAACAAGAAGCTTTTTTCATATTGTTGCCAAAAAAAACCTATATGGATGTGTCCATGAAGTCACTAGCAGTTGAAACTTTACCTCAGTGTTTTAAAAGTAAATAACACTGGACTGAATTCCTGAATTACTGGTTTTTGAAATGTGGATTCATTACTCTCCTTCTCAAGAGATAACCAAGGTTTCTCCTGATGTTTGCAGAAAATTCTGAATCAAATTGTTTCAAATTCAGAACAAATTCATTTCAGTGCCCCATTTTAGCATATTCTGACTTTTAGTCATCTTGCTTGTTTTGAATATTTTTGGAAGACACTCAAGCTTAAAATGATGCTTTGTCTATCCTTCTCTAAAGTACAAACAAAACTCCTCTTTTATAAAACAAAACAAAATACTAAATCCCAAATTATTAAATTTGGGTTTTAAAAGTCCAGTCTCTAGACTGATGTAGGTGACTCATTTCTTTTGCTCTTGAACATATTTTGGAAACACATGGTTCTTTGTCTTTTTAACTAGGTGTCTTTGTTTTTGTTCTTTTTGAAACTTCCCAACTGGTTCATCTTATGGTAAAAGGAAAAACCTCTCACTTCGTGGTGATTATGAGACTCTTTCCAAGAGATGGTTTAAGCAGATAAACAAATTCAAGGATAGCTCCTGGGCCAATGAGAATTACTTTAAACATTTTTTCTTCATAAACAGGATGGGCAAGTTCTCTGATATCCTCCTTTGGCAACATCATGTCAAAACTGTCATCTTTCATCTGCCATGTCTTTGCTTATGCAGTATTTAAGGTAGTCAACAAATAATTCTGTGGTATGCATCAAACTGCTTTTCTTAACTCAACCAGAATTAACCGAGAGTGAGAATTGTCCAAATATGAGTCATCAAAACCCACAAAAATAACAAAAGACAATTGAGTTGTCAATAAATTTTCCCAAGCAAACAAGCAAGCAGGCCTCCCATATTTCATTTATTTCCAGAAACATTAAATTCCAAATTTCATTAATAGACTCTTGAGAAAATAGAACATATATGAACCATAATAGCTGACTCAATGTAATAATAACTAATGAAATACCATTCATACTGATATTAACCTATGCGTTTCTGACATCTTGCTTATTTTTCCTTGTTTTAGGAAGCCCTTTCCCATTGGAGATAAGGTGACATTTAGCGGCAAAGATTGTGTTTGCCAAACTTGTTCCCATTCACTGATTAGCAACAAACCTATCAAGATTCATGGACCAAGCCGTAAGTCATGTTGATTTTTCTTCTTTACACAGCATCCAAAGGAAGATTAAGGGAAGGAAGTGCTGTAAAGACCATAAAACCCAGAGGTCATTCTAGCAATTTAGAACCGTTTATTGCTTCTTTATGCAATTTAGTAGGATTTTTGCCCTCAATTGATTTTATATTTTTATAATTCGACTTTATTTGCTCCATGTAATGTTAGATGTTAAAAGGCACCCAGTGTAAATTATTACAATACTAAATACTAAGACTTTTTGAAAGGACACATCTCAAAGAATTCTTTTTCTGATTCAAGCTATTTGGGATTCTTGGCAAAAAAGGGAAAGTTGAATATCTTATAAATGGTCTTCTTCATCACCATCATCACCAAAATGATTTATTTAAAGTCTACCTCTTATCACTTTGAATTACAAAAAAATCTGAAAATAATTTGCAGTACTCATCCATAGTCATTAAATTTTGGATTAAAACAAAGTGGATGATCATGATGATTTAAAAAAAAATCAAAATAATACACAGATGTGATCATGTGTTTCCGTAGCGGCCAAAAGCCACATTTAATTTTTTCTTTTGGCCAGGGAAGGAGGTTCAATTTATTCATGTTTTACATCAATTGTAGCCTTGCACTTTTTATTCTTTTGGTTATGCTGAACTTCTGATCTGACTTCTGATTTCATGATTTGGAAGACTCGAAGGCTAGAACAGAGTCTTGTAATCTTCATCCCTTGGTGAAGTCTTTTGCCTTGAAGGAGTGCCTACAGTTGGCATTGCCCAATTGGACAGCTGCTATTTGTTTCTTCCTTGCTGTCAGACAGAAAACACAATCAGATCAGCTAATTCTACTGTATTCTAAGGTTACATTAACAGAATCCTGCAAGTCTGAAACTCCAATTCTTCTCCCATCTTCTTTACCCTGAGAAAGGCCTCTTTTGAGCCTCTATCCAGCTATGGACTATGCTGTCTCTTATCTGACCAGTCCTAGGCAGCATGACTGGGCTCAGTCATTCCAACATACTATTATACTTGTTGACCTCTATTTGTTGACTGAAGCACCAGTGAATTTATGAAATGTCCACAGCCCAGAAGCTTTTCAGGCCTCTTCCCATTACCTGAAGTTTTTCCATGAAAGTTGTGTGGTGAGAAAAAGAACTCCTTTGTTTTCTCCCTGTTTCAGAATTGTTTCCTCTATGATCACACCCTGAGTGAAGCCTGCCCCTACTCCTCAGATCAACAGAGTGTGGGAGAGAGCTTCCCTGCTTATTGCTTGGTAGATCATGCTGAAATCTGTGGCTAGAAAAGGGCCCAGAAGCAAAAGCTACCTTCAGGTTATATGGTGGGCTTCTATGCCCAACCACGCTAAAAAGCTGTTGCTTACTGAACATACAAACAGGGAAGCCTTGTAAAAGCCTTATAATGAGCAATCTCTGTCGGGCTGCTTACCAGCTGGATGCAATTGCACAGCAAGCTGTGTGATCTCACAGTGGAGGCAATAGATGTTACTGTCTCCTTAGACGCATTGATTACTAAGAGAAGAATGACACAGTATTCCTTGCTACAATCACAAAACAGTGCTTCCCTGTGACAGCTGGCTCTTGGCAGAGCTGTTCGAAGCTGCCAAACAAGAACACAGTGGCCACAATTCAACAGGAGAATTAAGGGTGCGTAAGCCTGTTGATTTAAGCTGCTAATACATGCAGCACTCCCAGCTGGACTGCAGCCTATTTGGTTCAAGGTAGTAAAAGTCACATTTCTGTCTTTGCTTCTACAGAAACATGAGAATTGTAGTGTGGTTGCATTTGGAAAAGGTAGTTCCTTCTCTGCTCCTAGTTTCAATATTTAAAAGGCTGTCTCAGTGCAGGAAAATCACAAAATCAACAAGAATTCCAGTGTTGGCTCACCCTTTTTCCAGGAAAAAGGGTGGAGATGCTGCATTTCTTTTCCCAGATCAGCTGAGTTGAGCTAAAGAAAAAGCTGTCCAAGTCCAAGGCTTGCTTTGCTTTTAAAGTCTGCGTGAAGATGCAAAAACACAGATGTTCCATCGGGGCCAAAAAGAGGGGGGGATGGAATGGGTCTTGCAATTTCACTGGACTACAACTGTTAAAATAACAGAAAGTGGAAATGTGTACTCCAAACACTGAGACCCCTCTCCTCGTTACTTTCTGTGTTTGCCATATCTCCAGATAATTGCCACACTGTTGTCTTTGTGCTGTAGTATTTTGATAAAGGATGCCTCATTAAATTCACTTCAGAATAGAGCTGGAAGGAACTTTGGAGGTCTTCTGGTCAAGCCTCCCTGCTCAAGCTGGAGACCTGACAGACAATTTCAGACAAATGGTTGTCCAATCCTTCTTAAAAACTCCCAGTGTTGTAGCATTCACAACTTCCGAAGACAAGCTGTTCCACTGGTTAATTGTCTTGTTAAGTTTCTTCTTAATTCCAGGTTGCTTCTCTCCTTGATTAGTTTCCATCTATAGTTTCTTGTCTTGCCTTCTGGTGTTTGGGAAAATAAGTTGACCCCCTTAGTTCCCCCTTCCCATTACCATCCATGCTTTATTTCTTGTCTTGCCTTCTGGTGCTTTGGAAAATAATTTGACCCCCTCTTCTTTGTGGCAGCCCTTCAAATACTGGAATACTGCTATCATGCCACCCTAGTTCTTCTTTTCTCTAATAATCTTCCTTTATTCCTCATGAAATCAACCAATGCCACAGAAGATAATATGAAATGCCATTCTTATCCACCCTTTGGTTCAATGTTTGTCCCTGCAATGAACTTTTTAAAACAATGAAAGTGGCATTTCTTCTTTTAGGTTTAAAATACTTCAGGGTGTCTGCTCATGGATAAGATGATATGGCTCCTTGAATGGGTTTCTGATCATGGTGTTAGAAATACAATGTGCTGGATCTACAAATGCCATTCACAGGATGCTCCTTTAAAACCAATGGGGATTGTGTGGAAAGTCTGGGAGTCTGTGCAGGTCTCCCATGTTAACTAGCATCTGAAGGACATCACTGGAATTCATTTTACTTCAAAATGCTTTTATCTGGTTCTGCTCTAGTGTGATATTACATAGTAAAATCAGGGTGCTATGGAATACTATGCATAGGACAAATAAAATATCATTAAGCTGCTAAGATGCTATGAAGCTAGAAATAGTTTTTCTATAATATAGGATGGGCATATGGATAGATAATGCACACCCTATATTATCCCAAAGTAGATATTGCTTTGTTCTCTTTTTTTCCTTCTATACTTTTGTTCTGTCCAATTTGTCTGGGATTTTTTTTTTCAAAAGTCTGCTTTGTACCCTTTTTTCTTAGTATTTGTCATGTATGCACTTTTTTTAGAATATCTGATACAAGAAACCACTCCTGGTTTAATACATTTTGTTTGCACTTCCTTCCTATATATATCATTTGCATTATTTTTGAGTTGCAAAATATGTTATAAAAATTATACTGAGAAGTATAATTATGTTCCTGATAACCTAGAGATTCCCTAGGGATGAATTAGATAGGCTTATGTCAAATTGTGACTGTTTAAGGCGACCCTGTAAACCTACACGAGAGAGAAGAAGGATAACCAGTTCTCAAAGAGGAGAGACCTTGTCATTGCATTCAACCAGAGATAGCCCAGGCTGTTTTTGCAACCAGAAATTCAGAAACAAGCCACAGTGAATAGAGCAGCATAGGACAAATCTGCTGAATCAGCACACAAGGAAAGGCTGATCTCTTCCACCCCTACTCAGTTTCCAGGAAGCCCCTGTTAAGAAGCCCCTGAGGGGGGGAAAAAACCCAACACAAAATCACAATATCTTTTTTGCCTCTCCCTCCCTTGTCCCCTGTGCTTATCCTCCTCATTATCTTTAATACTATCAGGTCACATGAAACCTGCATCTTTCTCTGAAATTCACTCTTCACCTTAGACGTGCAGCTCAGGTTACCCAAAGCCTCCATGGATAATTCATAAGTACGGAGAGCAACACTCAGGATATAATGTGCAAAGAACAGCATCTCCCCAATATTATTATTTTTTTCCTGCATCCACGCCTGCTCTCACTGTATCTCCCTGGGTGCTGTTTGGTGACAACTAGCTGTGACTTCAGTAGGCAAGGCAGGAAGAGAACCTTGTCAGCATGCAAGATTCTAGGATTTAGAGTGTTGCTTTTGCATGGCAAAAGTTCCCTGGAGCTACCCTAAGCAGTGGAATCCACTGACAGGACAAGTGGCAAACCAGGGATTGTGTTGACAGGTGAGCGATGAGAGAGAAGAGTGATCAGAGGAGATTGTCAGTCTACCTTGCATTTATAAACAATCCCTCCAGCACTTAGAGGTGTGTAAGGTAAAAATGCAGCAACAGTCAGAATAGCTTTGGTAACAGCGTATTCCATAGCATGTGAAAAATCTACCAGTGAGATTTTTCACAACTATTCATCACTCCAATGAGCACCCTACATATTAGTGATTCCTTGACAATCTAAGAGATGAGGAGACTGAAAAAGCCAATCATAGCTGGGACAGCCACCCCTTTCAGGCCCATTGGCTTCCTGCTACTGAATTAAACAGCAAAGGAAACATGAAAGGAAGGAAGAAAGATAAATACCTAGGCACACACCAAATCTGACTGTGGTAAAGGTTAGGAAGCAGCTTTTACTATCCTGGCTGAAACCCAAAAATCTTCTGGTCCAGATTTTGTAAAAGAGAGGAAGCCCTCCATAAATATTTAACCCATGTATTCCTCCCCATCCCTACCCCATCATTCTTGATCTTGATTTTGAGCAATTCAGCTTGGTCTAACCATTACACAAGGTGATCTAAAATATCCTTTGGGTACTAATGCTCTGGTATTAGGTCAACATTCACTATAACTGTTCTTTGCTTTCCTTGGCAAAACATGCCAGGTTCTCCTTGAGTCTTGGTTAGATGTTTTGCAGTTTTTAATTTTAATTTTTCTTTTTTGCTAAAGCAAATGGTACACCTGCATTATCCTATCTAAATTGGTTCAAGCAGCAAGATCAAGATGAAAATGACAATCTGTAATTCTCCAGGAGAGGAAAATGCCAATGTGTCAGGTTTTTTTGTGTTAACGTAATTTATACTAGCTAGCAGTCAAACAAGAAAAAACAATTCCATAAAAATGAACTAAAAGAGAAAGTCACTCATTTCCATATAAACTATATGGAATATTTGCATCCTACAATTAGAATTATTTGGAATAATTAAAATTTTAATGTGAAAGAGGTAAATATATTCCATATTGAAACCATTTTATGTATTTATGATTTATTTTATTCAGTTGGTATAGCCACCCATCCTGCCAAGGAAATTGTTCATTAACTTTTTTGTTAATTTTGTTAATTTTTGTTAATTCAGGTGAGATCTGAACAAGAATTTACATGTATAAATAGTTTCCAAGACTCCCAATGTTATGATTCATAATGCGGACATAGTATTGAATATTTTAAGTATTCCACTAGGTTTACACACTCTGATAGCAATACTGCTGATGCTACTGTAAGCAACTGCTCTATAAACAAACTGGTGTTTGGCATTACAGTGATTTATCAACAAATCCAAGAACATATGGAGAGATAAGGTACCCATGAAGAACATTCACACAACTTTCATATATCTGGCTTCTCCAACCTGAACGGTCTCAACCTATGTTGGAATCAGCCTATCAACCTTTTTCTTAACCAGTATGGCCAGTCATGATTGAGGAAGAGGAATCCATTCTATGGATAGCACGATCTTGGTGTGTCTCCAAAGAGAAAACCATGCAACTGTAGAGAAAATTAAGCAAGTGAGGTTCTCCACATTGACTTTAATGCAAAATAAAGGACCTTTCCTACTAGTCATTTTGTTTGTTCCTTCCTGGAGATAGTCCTGTGTATCACAAATCATTTTGAACACTGGGACCCTTTGCTTCATGTCTGTCATTCATGTTATTATTATTTATGGTTCCAGAAGGCACGCTATTTGTAGACACTGTTGTCTTCTATACAGATTTTAAATCTATTTGGGACGTTCCTACTTCTGCTGTGTGGTCAGTTCTCTGTGTTTCTTTTGTTTCTTAGAATGTGCAGGTTGCAAAGAGGAAATCAAGCAAGGTCAGTCCCTCCTGGCTTTAGAAAAACAGTGGCATGTCAGCTGCTTCAAGTGCCAAACCTGTGGAATCATCCTGACTGGAGAATACATTAGCAAGTGCGTGTTTCCACCTCTTCCCTATGCACATTTCAGCTGTATAAGCTAGATGGGTGGGGGATTCCTTCAGAGCTAAGCATCGGATGGTATTCTCAAAGAATTCTGAGACTTTTTCACAACTTTGTATATTAGAAGCAAGCAGAGAGAAAGAAAGCAAAACAAACCTGTACTTTCTCTTTTACCGTACCTTTCTCAGCTAATGCACAGAAGAAGTAAGATGTGGATACCTTCCTAGACCAGAATCTATTAATTTAACATACAAATGGAATGTGTGCATTTTAGGGTACACAATGCATTACCTTCACTTCTGGAGGAAGCAAGAGCCACCTGTGCCTCCTTTTGCCTCACTTGTATGGATTTACTGGAAGGGAATATAGGCAACCTTCTGAGAACCCCTTATTCCATAAGGAGGAGGCTTTTTAATGCGGTTTTCTAGTTTTTGTAAAATCAGTACTCTTTTCAGTTGCTCTGTAAGAATTCAAAAAATGTCTTCAATTTGAACTCTCTGGGCTGAAATTTTGAAAGTCTTCAGGTTACACATGAAGGCTCTAGGATGGTTGCAAGTACCTGAGTTTCTGGAATCATAAACTAGTCTATTTATCTATTTATTTGATTGTTTGCTAATCTAGTCAAGGATTATATAATCCAACCCCCATTAATTCAGGAATTAGTCCCGATTCATTTATTACCCCATCCAACCGTTCTATTTTCTACATCCTCAACAGCACTAGCACATGAATTTATTCTTTGTAAACATTTTTTTATATATAATCCTCATTTACAGTAGTTTTGGTTAGATCATTCATCATAGTAACCTTTCTGACAATGATCTTGCTGTACGTACACATTTCAATGGGTAATCAAATAATAATGGTGCCAAAAAAATCATTCTCTCTGGAGACAGAATGTAGATCAAGTTTTATGCAGGTGTCATTCAACAGAGCACATAAATGCTGCAGAATAAAATGCTTATATCTGCACTATGGAGATGAAAGAGAATTAAATAAATGCTGTTGTAGAATCCTAGGGCCAAATAATATCTGAAGCTGTTTTAACAAAAACAGTGGTTTGTCTAGACTAAATAAAACAGAGGATTTCCTTTTATTGGGGGTAACAACATTATCTATAATTCATTAAAAGATAATTGTTTGTAAAACTGCCATTAGCAATGAAAGTCATTGGACAACTTCTGTTAAAACCCAATTTAAAAGCGGCATTTATGGTGCAATTAATGGTTTTATTATTCTGTCTCAATGATTAATCTGTGAGTACCTTTAGCCCTGGAGCAACTGTGAGCATATTCCACCGAAGGATCCCTTAAAGATGAATGGTTCTGCTCAGAGAGAGGGTGACTTTATGTGCCAGGTAACAGGCAGAAAAACCAGTCCATGGTTGTTCTGACATTCTGCTATTTGAGCTTGGCTTTCCTGAAATAAATATGAACAATTGTGCAGAAAATATGAGACTAGTAGTCGTTGACCTTACAACAGTTCATTTAGGGACCATTTGAAGTTACAATGGCACTGAAAAAAGTGACTTATGACCTTTTTTCACACGTATGTTCGTTGCAGCATCCCCAAAGTCATGTGATCAAAATTCAGCTGCTTGGCAACTGACTCACTTGTATGACTGTTCAGTGTCCTGCTTGTGGGGGGTGTCATGCAACCTTCTGACAAGCAAAGTCAATTCACTTAACAACCCTGTTACTAACTTAACAACTTAACAAATGCAGTAATTCTGTGCCAAGAAAAGTTATAACATGGGGCAAAATTCACTTAACCACTGTCTCACTTAACAACTGAAATTGGGGGGTGGGGCTCAATTGTGGTTGTAAGTCCAGGACTACCTGTATGTGAAACAGCCCATCTCAATTGCATCTTGGTCATGCACCGTATCGTCTCTTCCTTTTGGCTCCTCTGAGCCTTCGCGCTGACTCCAACTTGCATTCAAGGCTCGCCTGTCTCCCAGAATAAACAGAACCATCCTTCCGCCCTCTGACTTTTGTGCTGGTGGGTGTGCTGTCTTTTTGTGACATACACTTACATTTCCTGTGTTATTTCTGAATCAATCTCATCCAACTGAGCGAGCAGTTAGAAAGAAACCCTCAAAGGACTTCCCTCGTGGCCCCATTCCTGTATTCAGACTCAGGGATTTAAGGGCCTGGTGCTATCAGGCAATTGCAGATTGACCTGAAACAAAACCAGCAGATTAGGAGCAAAAACAGATTAGAAGGCTACCGACTGGTCTGGGAAAGTTTTCACAATGGCTTCGCTTTAGTATGAATGGTGGTCCAGCATCCAAGCGTGATGAACTCCATATAACATTTGTGCTTAGGGTGGGAGGAATGGCCAAGTTTCGTTGTTTCTTCCCTCTTTGAAATCTCTCTCCTGCTCTCTTCCCACAGGGATGGTGTTCCATACTGTGAATCGGACTATCATGCCCAATTTGGTATTAAGTGCGAGACCTGCAACCGGTATATTAGTGGCAGAGTGCTAGAGGTGAGTCCAATGCAAAGAGATGTCTTTATTAGAACATAGAATAACAGAGTTGGAAGGAACCTTAGAGGAAATCTAGTCCAACCCCCTGCTCGAGCAGGAGAGTCTATTCCAAATATTAGCCTCTACCTAGGCTTGATTTCACCATTTCCTGATTGTGAGGCCAGAGCTCCACCTCTAGGCCGCTGCACTGACCTTACGACAGGAGTTACGTAAACAGGAAACAGCCAAGCAGTTCTCTCTAGTCAAAAGAGATCGTGCTCTTTTTCCCTAACTGAACCAATCTGAAATAATGTCATGCCTAGCATGCTTCTTTACATAGCTTGGATAACTATGGGTTGAGCTCACAAACTGCTATTTGCCTCAAAGTGTTAGGATTTTTCCTCCTCCTGGTATTTTTATTAGAGGTTTGGATAAAGGACTAGCTCCGGATAAATTGAAGAATCTGTACCGCAAGAGGAAAATAAGCTGTGGGACAAATATATGGGGAAACATAAATATTGCTGGATTTATTGTTGGTGCACCAAAATCGAGCATGGCTGTGTCAGCACTATAGAAGAAGAGAACATTCATGCTTATTGGAATCTTATTGCTTTCGTTAAATCTTACCTACCTGCATTTGGGTTTTTTTCTTTTCTTTTGTTTCATTTCAAGCCCTCACGTGTCAAAGAAAAATATTTTAAAATCCTATGAGGACAGATCATTTGCTAAATAATGAAGAATGTTGACACTAGTTCCATTCCATTCAGAACATCTGCCAGTAAATCTGTCACCTCATTTTGCAGAAGGAACTTCCATATTTAATTATGCATAATTGTGAATAATATGTCTTTCTCTCTGTTCTGAATTTCCCAGTATTAAAATTATTTCGTTGACCCTTGCTGCAAGTATGAAGTGGGAAGAAAAAAAAATCCCATTCTTTCTTCACTCCGTGCACCTATCCTATAAATCTTCAGTCCTACTGCCATTACAGCAATCCTCCAGTTATGACAGCAATTGTGATGGAGATTGCCACTGCTAAGTGATTCGATCATAAAGTGTGATGTCACACGATCACCTCACACAGTGACCCCAATCACAAGAGTTGTAATCTCATCATGATCTCCGGACCATGCCGATTGTTAAGCAAAAATGGCTAGGGGTTCAAGACAAGGAGTGCAGGAGGTTGAGGATGCCACAGATGGGCTCTAGGGAATGCAGATGGGAACTGGGAGAAATGGGCAGACAGGTGATGTCAGTGGTAGATGCTGGGACTACAAGGATGGGCTGGCAAGGCTATGGGCAGGTGCTGGGGAATCCCGTCAGCCTGGTATGTGTTATGTGTGGGCAGTGGAGCTGCTGCTGCATGTGGGCACCTGATATGGAATGTAAGAGAGTGCTGTGGAGTGCAGGCAGCCGATGGTGACTACAGAGTAGGAGGTCCTAGGGATCTCTAGTAGGTTTTTTTGAGAGTCCTCAACTTGCAACCTTCCCTATGGTCTGACTTGACTTTGCAGCAAGGATCAAAGTCTTGAGAAACTATCAGGGAGTTGCAAATTGCAATGACATGACTGTGGCTCCCGAAACATAATAAATGTGAAACAGGTACCCAAGTACCTAGGTTATAGTCACATGGCCATGAAGACACTGCAATAGCCATAACTTTGCAGACCAATTATAAGTCCTCCACATTCAGTACCTTCATAATTTGACTGTCATAACTGTCATTGAATCAGTAATTGCAAGTTGAGGATTACCCATATTAGCAACTCCCCCCTCCTCCTATTTAAATAAAAAAAAAATCCTCCTCTTCCTATTTAAAAAAAAAACAATGTCAAGATTTTGTAACTTCCTTTAATGGGAGAATTCATACAGTCCGAAGACTTCTTCAGTTATGCAGCTTTAAGCATTTTGGTAAAGTATTTTTTTTCCTCTGGCTGCAGTAAGTGTCAGTGACACCTTTCTATTCAGATGCTCCCTCAATCCATTTACCTGGAAGAATGTTTTGTAGCTAAATTCCACCCTGCTCCTCCCTGTGGTTTTGGCAACAAATTCAGTACACCTGCTATCTGTTTCATATAAGTCACCTGAACTAAGGAACCATAACGGTAGAAGGCGTTGACTGCAAAAGGGCACTTTGAACCAGTCAATGGAATTTATAGAATTAGGTAATAAGTGTACATTCTTCCTGGGCCTAATTCATCCTTGCTCAGATGAGTAAAAAGGAAGGCTCAGCTAAAATCTGAAAGTCATCTGGAGGGCCCAAAATTGCAGAAGTTTTATCTAACTAAATAGAGTAAAGCAAAAGGGTGGCTTACCACTTAATGAATGAAACATTAATAAAATTAAAATCAGATCTGGCAAAATTGCACCGTGTATACCAACATAATATATTAGGAATGAAATAAGTGAACCAGGCATACTTTAATGTAATGAGATAATTAAATAAAAGTCATTAATTACAAAGAAGGGAAAATGTTACCATTTGTACCAGGAGAGATTCCAATCTATATTAATTTAAATAGAACTTCCAAATAATCCATTCTCTTCTCTCCACCGTCATTGCTTCCCTAATAATAAACCGCAACAGAAGTTTAAATGAATTAAAATGTTGTTTTCAGTATTAATTATAGAAAATCACTTGTCATTGCTGCATATCTTTTTCAACAGTTCCTCTTGTAATTTATTTTCCTACTAACGCATGCAGCTAAAATTAATTTCTGCAGTCGTTAACATGGAGCTCTGATTCAGAGGCAGAACTGGTTTTCAGTACTATATATCTAATTCCTGGAATAATAAAAAGTCCTCTGAGCATGAACTAATAATTGAGCTTAACAAAAAGTTTCACTGCAGCCAATCTAAGTTTATTTATTAGTAAAGGAACAGGAAAAGGACTAGTATCTCAGGTTGGCTTGGGGCCTGGCAGTGCTCTGTTCAAATATTTAAAATTGAGAAGAAAGAAGTCCTGACACTGAGCAAGAAATGATCATTTCCTTGTTCGAGGTGCTTACCCATTTTGTGCCATTTTCCCCTCCTCTGATTCTGAATTAACTATTTACTTTGGATTTAACTAACACTCATCCAGAGATAAATTGGTGTGAACTTGCCAAGCATCTTGCCATCTAATTTAGCACATACACCAAAAAAAGTTCTGGAAACTCATTGCATGGGGGGGGGGGGGGCAGGTGTTTAGGCTTAAATGTTGCTTGTTGGCAGTAATTTGATCATGCTTTCATTTTCCACCTTTCTGTCCAAGACAGTCAAACCAAAATAATTTGGAGCAGGTTTTAAAAATAATTCTGCCAAGTGATTGCATTCAGAAAGGTGCTACTGCTCTTGAGTTGCATTAAGACTTCCAACTTCCTGAAAATTGCATCAGCTTAAGACAGAAATGTGCTGAAAGGTTTTCTGGAACAGAAAGTAGATAAAAGGACAACTGGGTAGCACTTTTAATTCAAAAGGATTTTCACTCCATGATGGGTAACACTCCATGGTGGATTTTCACTGCATGATGGCTAACAGTTTTTCACAGGAATGGGAAAAGCTAATGAAATTGTCTTTAAGATAAATCTTGGAAAGAAATTGTTACACATGGATTGACATTTCTATACATTACTGAGTACCAGGTTTAACTCATTGACAGATCTTTGTTGAACTATATGCTGGCCTTTGAAATTCCAAGACCTTGGTCAAATAAAACTACAAAAATCATCATGATAGGAGTAACTGCAGATAGGTCTGCAGGTAGCCTGCAACTTGGTTATGAAATCAGGAGTTATGTTTGATATGTTAGACAGGAAAATCTACAAAGGCCATGGAGCAAAATAAGACCTATCTTTGGAGACATTCAGGACTGAATTATTTTACAGTCTCTTCCAGAAGTCTGACAGACTACAAGCTCAACCTCTTGGGATTTTTCTTGATTGTGCTAGTGGAAGCATTCAATCTCTAAGCCTGATTATATCATGATTATAAATCAAACTGGATGGCAAGATACTATAGAATTTGATACCTACTGAGTGCCAAGACTCCTGATTTCCCTCAAGATAGGCAGCTGCTATTTTCAGTTCTCAATGAAATAGGGTATGAAAGCCTTCTATTTCAGCCATAATCAGCCTTCATGTGTTTAAGCCTCTGGCTGTCCCAGATGGCTTTAAGCTGTGTAGCCAGCATAGAAGATTAATGAATCTTAAAGGATGACACACCCCTCCCACTTTGAATTATAATTAGCAGTCTGTCTTCACTGTTGGCAACATCAGACTCATACAATGGCCTGTAATTTCCATCAGTGTAAAATAAACAAGATTGCTTGTGGTTTGTTCTAGTGGGTAGTTGCATCCCCTTCATGATCAAACTACCTACTATGGTGGACCTTTAGGGGGTGATTAAAACCAAACCAAAATGTAACCACTTATGATACTTTGCCAGGTAGCTGAGTGGTTAAGCTGCCAACGTAACTGCTCAGAGTCGCCGGCTGTTGGGCAGCACATACATTTAATAAATGATGGTGGGTTGCACAGATGTTTAGTCTATATTTGGCATCTTGGTCCACCTATCAAATCCTTCTGAAGGATAAGATTTTGTTGTTTAATACTGTTAAAAGAACTGCTGCACGATATAAACTTTTGCAAGAAAAGCTGCCCTTTGCAATTGACTAATGGTGATTTTCTCAATGCTGATGTTGTTCAGTATCAGATAGTGCTTCAGATGTTTATTATTGGTTACAGTATTGCTGAATTACAAGCTCACAAAAGGTAAACTGAATGCTATGTGTAAAATAGCTGTATTATGAAGTTTATTTGGTCTCTCATGGAAGGCTTTAACTGGCTGCAATTGTATAAAATGAAAAACATTCAGTATTGATTCTGTGCATGTTCATCTAAAGATAGACACTGATTCAATGGATTTACATTTTAATACTATATACTGCTGCCTGTTACACTCATATATTCTCTATATCATCAGCATTGTCTACCAATCAAAAGGCAGAAATATTTTCTGATCTCATAATATATAAAGCTGGA